TTTATTTACATCTGGCTATCCCACGAATGTTAGTCCCAGGGATCCAGAGTCGAGAGTAGCTTAAAGCCATCGCCAGAGATGGACACGGGATGAATTGAAGGAGGTTATATGGTGCTTTTACTATGCGAAAGTGAAAAATGGGGGCTCTGAAATACTTTTTAAGGAATGAAGAGAGTGGAATCCATATATTAGACGTACCCGAGATTCAAAAAAGCTTGCCAGTCAACGATGATACATACTCAGCAGTGGAATATGTACAGAACAACTTACTGAGATTCAGAGAAATACGTAATATACTCTTCGATTGAACTATCCTCATGACGAACATGTAGAAATTGAAACGATGGCCGTGTTAAAGGTTCATCTCTTTCCGAATAAACATACGGCAGTGGTGAAAATTGATCTAGCAATAAATCACACGATAAGGACATGATGCGAAATCTCTTTCGACGCGAGACTTCCATTCGTCAACTTCGATTCAAATCTCTTGTCCGTTAATGGGAATATATGAAAATGCCAAAGTTAAGAGAGTGATAGAGACAGCGAACTATGTCTTAAATGAGATGGTACAGACCTCAGGTACAGATCTTCATATCACTGCAATAAATCACATAGTGTTTGCAACTGGATATCTGGTATCACAGATAGTTTAGGAGCCAGCCAAGAACACCGACGACCAACAGCAATATATAGATTAAAAATACATGTACCACCATGGATGAAATTAAATATGAAAAAAATAGTCGATACTCGGAGTGAAATATCTCTTTCAGCCGAGACATCTAAATCAACGCTCACTTCTAACGTTAGACAAAAATATTCAAAGTTGAACAGAAATTGAAAATGAGGCAACCGAGCTAATGGTAGCTGAAACGCTAAAAGAGAAAATTCAAGCATGAGCTCAACGAATTAGAAGGTTGAATGGATTTCCGTGTGCAGAATTGGTTTTTTTGCAACATGCAAATATATATTCCCAAAAGTAACTCAAGAAATGGCTTACGTGGCATTACGTATTTACTTTTGTATTGATGTGGCATCACGTATTTGCTATCTCAAAGCCGGAGACAGATCATTGGCAAAAAACTACAGGCCATCACTTGTCTGACAGTACTGTACAAAGTTAACACCAGCCATAGCTGACAAAATGTCGATACAATGATGTAGAGAAATGAGAGTGTAATTTAAGCATGGCTTGGATTGATTACCAGAAGGCCTTTGGCAGTGTACCACACGATTGGATATTGAAGACAACTAAAGATCTATTGATTTCATCCTAGACTTATTGAGTTTTGCAAGGCTAGTATGAAGTCGTGGAGTACCTGGTTGGTAATATGCAGGGGAAAGGAAGCAGTAGAAATAAAAAAAATTAATCAACAGGGATATTTTTCAACGACATTTGCTATCTGTACACGTAGGCTTCCGCGGCTCGAGTCCATTACTTCTAGGCTGTCCGGGTGACGCCGCGTCGTTGGCAGATATCTCCGCCAATCACGGCGCACTTGCTTTACCCGACCACTAGCTGAATAAGATATAACACCGGAGGCGGAGCTTTACTATGTCAGTACCCTCAAGAAGCCTGCGACATGACAGGCGAAACGTCGGCCTATCTGCCAACGACGCGGCGTCACCCGGACAGCCTAGAAGTGACATTTGCTATCATATGTACACAGGTCGGCGTCGCTAGCCGAATTAGTTTACTACGGAGGGTAATGGAATTGGAGACTCCCTGGTTCCTGGTTGGGTGACCGGCCAGAAACCTTGGGATCTAACGGTGTCGTGCCCCTGGCCGAAGGGATAAAAGGCAATGAGTGACTGCAACGTGATTTTATTATTATTGTCGGATTATTACAACGGATTATTCTGAATTTCTGAATTTTCTAGAAAAACTCTTTCATTGTGACCTTTACGTATTTTTACATTAAAGGGAGGTTGATATCAGTAGGACCCATGCGATACGCCCGCAATGTTTTCCCCCGACATGCAATTGACTTTCACGTTTCACTTTACCTCTCGCGGAGCACAGTAAGTGGCACCGCGAGCCGCATGCAGTTGGACACCCCTGGGCTAACCCATACTTAGGTGTTTTCCAAAATGGATATCCGTCAGTCGATTTGGCTCGAATCGGGGCATATCATTACTCCATGCTCGAGGAGCAGCGAAATTTGCTGAAAAAATTATCAAAATTTTGTCGTACATTTTATAAAGAATAGAATAGAATATACTAATGAAGATAACATAGGTCCGTTTTGAACTGTTGACTCGAATTTTTTTTAATTGCAAAAGTTTGGATTTTTCCGGCGTCTTCCAACAACTACAAAATTGAAGATAGAGATGTTTCCTTCAAGTGGATTTTTTTGTATTGAATTCTTTCGTTAAGGTCATGTGCATAGTGGTTCTTCAACAGCACGTACTTCTCACGATATTGTTTATGGCTATGTAATATAATATGACAATTTCTGTCTTACACTTCAACAATCATTTGAAAAATTATTAAAGCCACTCAATTCAGTGTATTCACGTTCTACATAAACGTGCCCACGATACACGATAAGTACTTTCTTGATAAATAAAATTATTAGTTTATACTAATACGAAAGAAAAGGTAGCAGTCTTTATCGTCTTGTATTATAACGCAGTACAACAATGCGTTGTATTACAACAATTGGCTACAAGCAACAATAACCGCTAATTCATATGGGATAAACATTTCGCCAATTAGCATTGCTGATAGCGCTAGCAAGAAAATATTAAATGAGAAGAAAAGTTTCTCAAGCGATAACCCAATACAATTTTGTGTTTCGTGATCACTTACTTTAAATGGGTGAATATAACAAATCGTAAGAGCAACTATTCCTTTTAGTTAGTACTCGATAGTATTTAATAGTGACTCGTCATATTTGTTACATGGGTCTTAAAGTTAACAAATGCCTTATTTTCGAAATATTTAAACGACTTAATTTTACCTGGCGCAAAATATTAAAAAAGATTTATTCCCATGAATATTATACTTCCACACACTCTTGAAGATAATAGTTTTATAATATAGTAATATTCGTATTCTTTACGATTTATATGATGAAGAAACTTCACTTTACCAGAAGCATTAATTATTTTTGGATTGTTCACACAAGCTTTATTCAAAAGGGAATGAGTGCCACACAGTAATACCAATTTCACGAACATTACGGTGAAGCGCAATTTACCTACGCATTTTGCGTATTTCTCAGACTCAGATGTTTTGGAAGACAAGGAATACTTCTTTTCAAGATTCGACTGACAGCCTTCAAACTTATTTCCCCTCCCCTTATATTAACACCAGAAATACAAAATTTAAATCTACTTTTTGCATGCCTTATGTACTCTTTGTCGTTACCATTTTCTTTCAGAAGAAACACTCTTTTACGACTAGAAACACTACTTGACAATGAGATTATTCTGTGAATTTCACGCCGTATCGCGATGTTCCTATTGTTAGATTGCAACTTCATAAACACAGTAGCCAAATACCTGAAAAGTGAATCTCCAATTTTCGTACATCAGGTAAATGTCTGTACAAACATATTTTCAATAGTAAATTATATTTAAAAGTATAAGAAGACTGCAACATCGCGCGCAACTATCATGATAAATCTTAGAAATTAAAATGATATCCAGGTCCTGAATGTGAAAAGCACAAATTAATAAATATTCCAGATTAATCATCTTGATATTACTTTGCTCTTCGAGCAGGTGATTGCTAGAAATAATGTTTTTCCATGCAATATTTGTACCGCTTATGTAAAATGCATTGACATTGCAACTAATATAGACATACATTTTCACACCTAACGTTTTAAAATTTGTAATATTATAATAATTAATATTATTTAAACAATGATAAAAGATTTTCAGAATATCCAACTGCCTCTGTCTCTCAAATTACTTTTACACACTGACACCGCCTCTTCCGAAGCGCTGGAAATTCGAATTTACCATTTTAAATTATTTTCCAATTCTTACAAAAAATACTCACAGTTTGGAAAATCGGCTGAACAGTTTGCATTGTTCACTGACAGACAGACATATACTTTGCCGCCAACAGATTGTTAGGTATCAAGGACCCATGAACATGGATACTGTCTACAACACGTGTTAGAGAATTTTATCCTATATTTGAATACCTCCGGACAAAAAGGTTGCCATCCATTTTGCACAGTGCTGTGTGCTGGTTTTATTATGAGGGTTACAACCCTTTTGCCTGGAGTTATTAATTTAGTAACTGGACTTAATCACTTTTTCGTTACAACGGACCTCTAATAAGATTTTTCAGAAACCCTCAAACGCCGTTTACTTTTAAAAATCATTAAATTTCTTTTCTTTAAACTTTTTAAAGATAGTTCTCATTGCACTGTTTAATATAACGTAAAGTTTATTTAGTGTATTCTTTTATTTTTTTCGAAAATTACACAAAATAATATTTTAATACCTCTCACGCCAATAATATCCACATTTCCAACCGTATGTAAACACTACAGTATTTGCGATTTAATGTACTTCAATTAAAAAATGTAAATGTAAAATGTTAATAAAATGTAAATGAGGGGGGGGGGATAAAATGGCAGCTTTCAAGGGGTTGGAGCAAGACCGAAATGCTAGCCGAGATTAAAGCGATTAGGTAACTAACTAGTACGAGAAAGTTTGTGCCTTTCTGTATCAATACTACTTTTATTATTAAATTTCAAATGTTATATTACAAATACATGATTTTCTTATAATTTGAGTGACTCTCAACCGTGGAGAGAAGCTAAGGAAAGAAGGGCGAGTGCTAGTCTCCTGCGCCTTAAAACAGGAGGAACACGGGGCCAAGGGAAGGAAAATAACATTTATTCGCTTTTTCGTTCAGTAGCACTCACAAGAGTTTGCCGAAAATAGCTGTTTTGTAGTTGCTTTAGAATATTTTCTGCATACTGCATAAAGAGTATGCGATGAAGTAACACCTTAGGTACTCTAAGGAATCTCACCCCTTCCTGGCGACCTCGCAGCTGCACAAGACAATTCCCTTGACGACGATATCGCAGGGAATGTAGTCGATGTAGCAGTCGGGGTCGGTGTAGCTGGTGTGCACCACGCCCTTCACAATGCCCACCATCAAACCCATGGGGCCGTTGAAGTTGTCGATCCAACCGGGCAACGGGTCACAGGCAGTAGCTACCACTGCAAAAAGAACACCATAGTAGATAAGAAACATGACCTCTTATTTTTTGTTTCCGACCACCTCAGCTGTTTGTAATTTCTCGTATACGTACGATTACAAGGATTACTATAGGTGATATAGAAAAAATATGTAATACGCGAAAAAACAGAGGGTTTTCGGCGGAAAAAAACATTCTCGGGCCCTGATAACGAACTAGTGGTGCTACAGAATGGCACAGACTTTCTCGTAGTTAATTTGCGCCTTCCTCATCTCAGGTTTCATCTATGGTCGCCTTAAGTAGAAAATAGGGGAGACCTTTTTAACAAAATAGCGTTTAATAAAACGTTAATGTAAATTAGAAATTTAAAGCTCATTTTCATAGAAATATTTTTGAGTTTTGTTTGACCGAGACACACTGTCACTGTCTCTCTCTGTCTCGGTCTGTCTCTTGTGTCTGTTTCTTTCTCTTTCTCTCTCGACTCTTATTACATAAGGAAATTAAACTTAAAGAAAAATTTTGAAGCGGTGTTTGAGAAAATTGTAGTTTTTGTAAATTCTAATCGCAAATTACGCAAAAACTACTCTCAATTTTAAAACATCGTACATAAACTGTTTTAAAGAGTTCTTTTTATAGAACAGTCTTTGACTGAGACGAAAATCTCTATATCCAATTTTGAAATTTAAACTTGTCTTTTCTAAAAATCGGGGATGTCAACGAAAATTAGACCTCCACCTATCTCTTAAACGTCATTTGCCGTCTTTGTCATTTTTTTGTTTTGTTTTGAAACTATGGAAAATTTCCCAGAGGCTTCATGTATAGTGCCCCCTAAAATTAAAATATCGGTTTCAAATTTGCAGGCTCCGTGGAATTTGCTACAACGTTTGGGGAATATGAATATTGGTGAAAATCGGCTAAACAGTTCATGCGCTAGCGTTGTATACAGACAGACACACAGACAGACACAC